CTGGGCTGTGGCTCCACACTTCTCTCAGGGAGTTGTAGAGAACAAGAAAGCTCCCCTGAGCCTCCTCTTCTCCATTCTCAGCCCCTCCAGCTCCCTCAGCTGCTCCTCATCAGACTTGATCACCAGACCCTTTCCTGTGCTCAGGCCTTTGCCACCACTGCTTTGGGACCTGTTGCAGCATTCCACACTCCACACAGGCATGTTTTTATCTAACCCTTTCTTGCTCTGAGTGAAAGATTAACCCCTTTTCTTTGCAATGACCTAACTTGCAGTCTGATTGCTGGCTCTGCTTGTTTACTTCCCTTTTGCATCACCCTCACAAAAGAAAAAGTCACCATACTAAAGAAACTGCTGCTAGAGGGGAGTAGAGAAAGTCAGCAAGTACTTTGTGAGCAATTCCCATCCTTTATTCATCAGTGCGTATGATTTGGGCTAGCCAAACAATTGGAAATGGTTGTTTCCCTCTTCCCCTGCTCAGGGTGCTTTAACAAGGGAAGACTGATGTTCTGGAGAGGGGAAGTACGTCCGCAGCCATTCACTTGTTATGATTCTCCAGGGCCTGAGTGGGATACATAAACCTCTGGCTCCAGCTAGAGGCCACTCACAGCTGGGTTTCTAAGCAGAACAGATCTCTCTTTATGAAGTATCACTCTGCTCCGTTAAGGTGTGTGGTACAATAGGCCCAATATCTCATAGGGAACAAGAAGACAAGAGAATAGAGAAATTGATGCTTCCCGGGAAGTGGCTGAACATTGCTCGTCTATGAGAAGTAGAGAATAAATGTTTTTTCTCCTTTACTTTTGCATGCACAAACTCAAGTTTTTCACTTTAATTAACAGCCTTATCTCAACTGACTACTTGTTTTCCATTTTATGTTCTCTCCCCTGTCGCACTAGGAAAGGGAGTGTGATGGAGTGGCTTAGTGACCAGCTGGCATTCAGCCAAGGTGAACCCACTACACCCATTTTAAAAAAGGCTAGAAAGGAACACTCTGGAAATGACCAACCCATCAGCCTCATGTCAGTGCCTCGGAAGATCACGGAATACATCCTCCTTGAAGCTGTGCTAAGGCACATGGAGAACAGGGAGGTGATTTGGGACAGCCGAGGGGGAGTCTTGCCTGACCTACCCAGTGGCCTTCAATGATGGATCGAGTACATGAAGGGACAAGGGCAAGGCTACAGGTGTCATTTATCTGGACTACCGTAAAGCCTTTGACATGATCCCCAAAACATTCTCCCTAAATTTGGTGATGGATTTGGTGCCTGGACTGTTGGATGGATAAGAAATTGCATGCATGGTGCTTCCAGAGATCAACAGCTAAGAGTCAGGATGGACCTCAAAGTTCTGTTCTCTGAGCAATGTCTATTAATATCTTCATTAATCCTGTACACAGAGGTATCCTCAGCAGGTTTGCTGATGTCACCAAGCAGCAGCTGACACACCTGAAGAATGGAATGACTACTAAAGAGATGTGGATGTGCTTGAGGAGTGGAACCATATCAGTCTCATGTGGTTTAAAAAGATCAAGTATGAGGTGCTGCATCTGAGTCAGGGTAGGTCTCAGGATACATCCAGGCACAGTCTGGCCCCAGGATGCCAAGAGGATGGGAGCTCCTGCCTGTCTGTGCCCTGTCAGCCTGTTGTGTATGCCCCAAGGCAGCCAGGCTGTTACTACACCACCGTGTCCCTCGCTCTCTGTGCCCGGCACCTCCGGCCCTGCTGCCCTGCTCCCGGAGCCCTGTCCCCGGGCAGAGCCGTTCCCTGCCCGGGCACTGCCCCTTGGGGTGCTCCCTGCTGCGGCCTGGGCTGGCCCCAGAGCAGGGTCCCCCTGCGGGTGGCCCCGGGCGGGCCGCGTGTCCCCGGCCGGCTGTGCCCGGGCAGCTGCCTCAGCCGTGAGGGCTGCAGAGCTGCGGGAGCCCACGGCTCTCTGCCGGCCGCGCTCCAGAGCTCCCAGCTCCAGCTGGCAGGGCCTCAGCGCCCGCCCTGTGCCCTCCCGCAGGGACAGGCAGGCCAGGCCCTGCTTGCTGCCCTCACGGCAGCATTCCTGGCCCCTGCGCTCTCCAAGGGCTTCTCCGGGGGCACCCTCCTGCGGCCTTTGGGTCCCTGCATGGGAGCCATGAGAGACTGGCACAGGGGCTGTTGGCAAGGGCCTGGAGGGACAGCGCCAGGGCCAGTGGCTTCCCACTGACAGAGGGCAGCCTTAGGCTGGAGCTGTGCAAGGACTTCTGCTCTCTGAGGCTGCTGAGCCTCTGGCCCACGCTGCCCACAGGAGCTGTGGCTGCCCCATCCCCGGCTGTGTTCCAGGCCAGCTTGGATGGGCCTTGGAGCAACCTGGCCTAGCGGAAGGTGTCCCTGCCCTTGGCAGCAGGGCTGGGACAAGACAATTTCTAAGCACCCTTCCAAGCCAAGGCATTCTGGGATTCTGTGATCAGAGGGGCTGGGGGTGGCTTGGTTTAATTTCGGCTAGAGATAATTCACCGCTCTGAGTTTGGTTGAGTTCAAGGAGTCATGTTCATGAAGCCCAGATTCACAGCCCATGACATTTACCACTACTATAGGCCTGGCTGAGATCAATAAAGTCTTGCACACTCCAGATTCTGCACAAATTGCCTTTTATTGACACCAAAGCAAAGCGTTTTCCAGTTTGCTACTTATAAATGCACTAACTCTAGAGCAGGAATATGGGTTGCAACAGATAGTAAGACTGGATATGGCTTTACATCTGTACAAAATTTATATCACACATGTAATTTATTATAGGCATATGATATAGAATATATATTACAGAGTTATATTCATATTTAATGTATACAGCAAGTATATATCAGATGTATGCTATATATGTAATAAATATATCTATTTTATGAAAAACCTTCCAGACATAAAGGGACTATGAGCAACAATATGTGTCATAACAGACACTGACAATAAATATGTGTTCTACTGTTACTATTTAAACAAAATTACATATGCAACTCTTTAAAATTACTTTTTATCCTGATGTAACTCCATATTTCATATTTTGATATTATTTCTATTACTATATTGTTTGGATTTATTGTATTTTACTAGTATATATGATAATTCATAAACTTTATAGTACATAACAGGCATACACAATATATCTATCTATGAAACAAAAACCTTGATTCTGCTATAGATAAAATTTCATGTCAGCTCCAACACACGTGGTCTAATGCTGACATAAAGGTGTCTCTTCCAGGGACATGGAGAGGCTCCATCCATTGACTCATCCCAGGTCACCAGTGCCAGTTTTTCCTCATACTCTCTTTTGCCCCATTTCTTTTTTTCTTTTTCTATCCCAGATTCCCACTTTTTTCATGCTTGAAATTTTAGCTCTCCTCAAAGGCTGGGAAGAACTGCATATTGCAGGTGGGGTTTGGAGACTTCAGCTCAGCATGTAGAGCAGGGCTCAATGACAACTGGGTGCCTTTTTTGGAAAGTGAAATGATACAAAGAAGTAGAATAAACCCTCCTGTGGCAGTCTACTTTCTGAGGTGCCAGCAGAGGCTGTTGGACCTTCTCCAGAGCCTTTGCACGCATCCTCTTCTCCTTAGCGCCAAATTTGTGCTAGGAGGTGGTTGTCTGCTGCCAGCTGTGAGCAGCACAAGCACAGCTCTGTGCACATGGCCATGACTCCTGCCCTTCCTTCAGTTATCCTCTCCGAGAGCGATTCTTTTGAACCTCTTGTGCAGCAGCCGGTAATCCTGCATTGCCTGGGTGTGCGCAGCCGGCCGCTGCGCCAGGTGACGGAAGAGATTGTATGTCCTACCCATTTTTACATCTGGGGGTAAATTGATGTCCTGAGGAAATGTCCGGTTACCCACAATGAAGTGCTCGAGGAATTTTTGTTGCAAACATATATGCAGGCTGTCCCTGATGTCCGTCAGTCGCTCCCGGAGATGTCCCCTGCGCCACGATGACGCAGGCATGGCACTGAGCAGGTGCATGACAATGGTCTTCATGGTGTAGGTGGAGAAGCTGAGGCCCTGAACAAGGCAGGAGAAGAACTGAAGGCATTTGAGGTGCAAGCTGTCAGGGGGGGCCTGCCTGGCAATGTACTTGAAGAACTCAGCCTCTGCCACAGCGTAGGACTCACGCCAGATTGTGCTTAGTGTGTAGGCCTCTCTAGGTTGGCTGCTCACAAAGACGGCTGAGTCACCTCTCCGTACCCCGAACAGCATCTCAATCCTGAAGCTTTCTTCACCATTGGTGGTCACATTGAATTGGCAGGAGCGTGCGGAGGGCAGCAGCGTTAAATGCCAGTTGTGTGACTGAGGGAAAGCTGGCCAGATTGCTTTCACCAGTTGCCGGAACCAGCGGGCAGTTTTCTGCACGTCCAGGTAGGAGTCTGTGCACAGGGTGTCTAGGAGGCTGGGTTCCTGATTGCTCCTCAGCTCCTCCTCGGGGTTGTGCAGGAAGCACAGCATGTTCTCACCCAGCTGCTGCCCCGTGCAGGTGCACTCCAGCTGCACGCGGACACGGAAGTTCCTCACATGCCTCTGCCTCGCGCTGTCCAGCTCCAGGTGGAAGCTGTGGCCTCGGGGAGGAGTCATGGGTATGAGCACACGGTACACGACATCCTGCTCACGGGGACTCCACCCTTCAAAGGCACTGCCCACCCCGATGGCTCGGTGCAGGACTGGGTAGAAACTGTCGAGCAAGACATGCGCAAAGTAAAATGTATAATTGTCCATCAGGTCAGTTACCCACCCACAGCCTCTCTGCAGGTCCTGTGCAGGCCACTGTATGCGCTCCATTATATCTTGTCCAACATGATCGTCAAAATTGTTGTCTTCTTGGACTACATTTTCAACATCATTGTCGTTGTTTTCTGCAAATGCAGCCTCATTGACAACATCATTTCCATCACTGTCATCTTCATTTCCAGCAACATTGCCAACTTCCTCTTCATTTGCACCATGGTTTTCTTCTTCATTCTCCTTTCTCCTCGGGCTGCTTTTCCACCCAATAATCCACAGGACCAAGACCAGGGCCAGGAGCACAGCAACAGCTAAGAGCTGCAAGTGTTGCATCTTCTTCTGGGAGAGCTGCTCCACCTTCTGCTCCAGCCGGAGCATCTCCCATTCCAGGTACTTTGCACGCGCTTCCATGCGCCAATGTGTTTCCTCATCCAAACCATCACCCACGGGCGGCGGGTACTGGATGAGACGTTGCAAGAGCACGAACAGGAACATGACTGGATCCATGGTCTGCAGGAGGAGGGAGAGAAGGCCTTGAGTGGGGAAGGGAGGGCGGGAACTACTGGTTGCTGGAGGGAGGACAGGATGCTCAGGGTTCTGGGCGCAGGAAGGACAGGGCCCCAGACAGCTGGCAGGCAGCAAGAGCTATCCCAGTGCCCCTGGAGCTGCAGCAGCAGCAGCAGCCCTGTGGCCTGCCCAAGGCTCTCCCATGAGGGGCTGTCCCTGCAGGCAGGGGGAGAAGCCAGCCCCGGTTGCAGCGTTTCTGCCCCAGCCCTTGTCCCCAGCCCAGCCTCCCCGCCGTGTGTGTACTCACCGCTTGCCCAAGCAACAGAGGGCCAGCGTTAACCTGCTGGGGCCTTTTATTGCTTCCCCCTCTGTGACACGTCCTCTGTGATGTCACAGGTGCCAGAGCGCATCACAGCCCAGCCAACCCCACCCTTTGTGCCCTCAGCCAGCTCCTCCCTCAGGAACTCAGAAAGGCCCTGGTGCACTGCTTAAGGCTGCTTTTGAGTGAAGCTTCTTCAAATAACTCCCATTGTTCTCTCTTTTGGATTTATTTTCATCTGCCTTCCACTCACAATCTCATAGATATCCCTGTTGGAAGGCGCCCTTGAGGATCATTGAGTCTAAGCTTTGACTCCTCACGGGTTGAGCTACACTCAAATCTCAGAATCAGAGTGGTTGAAAAAGTCCCTGAAGATCCCACAGTGTGACCGCGAACCTAACACTGCGTACTCCTTTAAGAAATTGAGTCCTCAAATATTCCATGCCTTTTCAATCCCTCCAAGAGTGGGGACTCAGCTATTTCCCTTTATTTTGCCTGTCTTTTTTTTTTTTTTTTTTCTTTTTCTTTTTTCTGAACAAGGTGGGGTGAGGCAGAGTGGGAGGTTGGTGGGTTGGTGAGTTGGTTGGTTGGCTGGCTGGAGTTTTTTGTTTGGTTGGTGTTTTATGAGATCCTGATTTTTGGATCATCATAAACTATGTCACATTGAGATTTGTGTTCCTGGTGGCTGGTTCTTGCTAGTGGTGGGATGTGAACAGGGTAAAAAAAGAGGAAGTGGTGGTTACTGGAACGGTACCAGAATGGTACAGTTTACAAATTCAGTGGCTCTTTGTATTCATAGGACAGATTGATGTCCAGCCCACCACCGACCCTGAAATCTGAAAAAAGAATGCATGTCATGCTGCTTAGTGTGCCAGGAAGGGCACATAAAACACCAAACAAACAAAAAACTCCAGCCAGCCAGCCAACCAACTCACCAACCCACCAACCTCCCACTCTGCCTCACCCCACCTTGTTCAGAAAAAAGAAAAAAAAAAAAAAAAAAAAAAAAAAAAAAAAAAAGACAGGCAAAATAAAGAGGTTACATTAACCTTGGATTCCTCTTGGTGGCATAATGGTGAGTTGTGTTGGACTCAGTCACAGGTCACAGAACAATATGATAGATACATTTGTCATGGCTCTGGAGAGAATTTTGTTTTGATTTATGTATTCTGCTGGTTCTTCACTTAGACTTTACTAAAAACCAGCTAGCAACAGGGGAAAAGCCCGATTCATTCCTGCATGTTCTTATAACAGGATGACATAGACTTAGAAAAGACTTAATGCAAGGCATATATCCAGGAACAGTCTTTTCCAACTTCCGTCCCTTAACAAATGTATCTATTGCAATAATTTCTTCCATTGTTCCTTCTTGTTTCCTTGGGTGTAACTGGCCCTCCTGAGCCTTTCTTATACCAACACTACCAGTGATCATAAATTAGCATAGCTTACCTGTCTCCTTAACATTTACTCGCTGCTTTGCAGCTAAATTACCCTCATGTGCAGGTCTATTGCTATGCTACCTGAAATCTGAAAGAACAGCTTGGGATCTGCCAGATCCTCCTCCCAGACACTTATCCAGGTTCACACCAGCATTACCTTCAAAGAGGGGAAAAGGGGTGCCACACTCCCTGAAGTTAATTTTCTGACTCTAGACTTTTAAATCCATAATCCATGGTGTATTTTTTAAGGCTGTCCTGTTGTGAAATTTTGTTTGCTTCATGCATATGCATGTCACACCACTCCCTCTCCCTGTGAGTTTAGGACTGCAGCTGCATGGCCTCTGATTTTCTGACACACATTTCTTGCTTCCTTGTCTGCCCCTGTTGCATCTGTGCTGTACTGCCTTGGTCCCACCTATCTGCTTGTTCTTACAGAATCAGTGGCACTGACATTCCTCTGAGTCAGGTGTTTATATTCCTCTTGAAGACTTCTCTATCCACACCATGCTTAAGGGCTCATCTCTCAGCTTCTTTATGAGCGTGTAATATGCTCTATCATGATGAAGTTCAAAGAACACAAAGTATTCTTATAGCATACCAATATTACAAAATCATTCGTTTCTTTACACACAAGAAAGATTGGCTAAAAATAAACTAGCTGCTCCTTGAACTTTTCAGAGGAAGTTAGATAACTTTGTGCAGTGGAAGAAAATATTTCAGTTATTACTGAATGTTTAATTCAGAGCTAATTGTGAATTTAATTTCTGGGGGATATTTTCTGAACACTAACAGATTTATCATAAATCTCTCTATATATAAAGCTGCATACCAAAGAACAAATCAGTTCAGGGGCAAAAAAAGTTTTTGCAAACCTGGATTTTAGCCAATTTTTGTGTATGGATGTTTGCATACTCACATATTTTATGCATATGTGTACAAATCTGTCAGAAAGATTGCTATCCTTATCCTAACCACGTGCCATTTGCTAACCACTTTAATGCAGTGAGCATTTTGGGCATATCATGAAAATATAGTTTAGTGATTTGAATACATTATCTTTTATTTTCCTGTGGCCATACACTACACTGCACTGGTTTGATTTACAGGCTAAACTTTTCCAGAGAAGATTTCAATTCTCGACTCTGTACTTCTCTTGCTCAATGCAATGCAATACTCCAAACTTTGTTTCTTTGTTGTTCTCAGAAATTGACATTGTTTGGAGAGTGAACAAAATCAAGAAAAGAGCTTTTGCTGATATTGTCTCTGAAGAAATAATTAATCTACCCTTGAAAACATTCCTTTGATATTGACTTCTGGTAAAAAAAACCAGTTCATTCTTTACCCTATTGTCAAAGTCTGGCAAGAGAAAGAAATAGGCAGAGCTGCAAAACTGCAGAAGGTTTTCAAATGTGACAGAATAACAAGTGCCTGTTTAAGCTAATTGCTACCTTTGTCAAATACTGTTTGAAAAATCATCTTGAAAATTGGTTCTTTTAGAAAACACACTGTGCTCTGCTGTTTTAAAAAAAGTTCACAAATCCCTATTTTGTAATTGTGAATGTTAATTTTGCTGTAATGACAGGTTAATTGCAAGATGTTTTCGATCAAACTGGAGTTGCAGACCTCTGTACACAAGATGGTCTCTTGAAATTTGCTTGGAAGACAGTATTTAGAAAATACTCTGCAAAAACATGATGTCATTGCTATTGTGAATAACCATTGCACAAATTAAGGATCTAGATAGCTTAAAAAACAGTATCAGCAGACTTGCAGTTTATCTGCTTAAGGAAATCAGAAGAAAAATCAGAAGTGAACTTTTCCCTTATGCAAGTGCAAATTAGTGGTGTAAGTGGTGAGACATGGTTGCTGGAGTTATATGGGTTCATTGCAGCTCAAACTGGGCATGATGAAGCTGATGAAGTGTGAGAGCATCCTTGTTCACCCGGTGTGAGGATGGCTTAGCAGTAAGCTATTGCTAGGGAGGGATGGAGGGAGGGAGGGACGGAGGGAGGGAGGGAGGAAAACATTACCTAAAATAATTTGGCACTGGATGACCTGAGGCAGCAATAAGACGAATAAGAAATGCAGTCATGGCAGTATACAGTTAATTCACAAATGAAGGAGATTTCAGAGAAACAATCCGTACATAACTAACTGATAGTATGTAATGTATGTTCTTGGCAGTGTAGCAAACAGGGATTTGCTTAAATTGTAAGCACTCCTGTTTGAAATCCATTTGAGGAGCTGGAAAGCACAGTACAAGTGTAATTATGCTTCACATTAAATTTTTTTGTGTGGGTTTTTGTAACACTTACAGGACCAAGGGTATGGAATTAATGGCCAGGAGGTCCATTACAGCATGATCCTTGGCTTATGATTAGTCAGTCATTTGTGATGGGTCAGGCACACATGCCTTTGTGATATTTTCCTGCCTCAGAGACCATATGGTCCAATAGCCATTTTCATATCCTGTCACTCACTCACTTCCTTAATATGTTCTACACAAATTTCTCTCTCAGTAACTTGCTAAAATCCCCTGCTAGGAAAAGTAGGTCCTGAAGGACAATTCTGGACTACAAGGACCATTCTGCTTCACTAACTGCATTAGGTTATGTCTTACTTCATTAACTGTCCGCCATTCAATGTTTTACTTTGTTACCAGTTTAATTCTCCGCTGGCTAATCTCTGTATTTTTTACATGTATCTTCACAGCAAAAGTTGTTTATATGGGGTCAAGGGGTTCATTAATCTGCCAGACATAATTTAGCTATAAAACTGTGGGATGCCATTGCAGAGGGAGATAAATGTGAGGTTGAAATGGTAGGAGGCAGTGATTGCAAATCAGAAGGACCAGGGGAAGCAAGGAAAGAAGGAGACTTTGTGTATGTCTCCCTGTATGATGTCAAAACAACACGTGTTGTAAAGCAACACATGCAGGGGTATTCATATTTAAAGATTTAACAGGAAGTCAGGCAGGCAAGGAGACAGGGAGACATCATACCAAAGACATCATACAGGGACACATCTCCCAGATTGCTCACAGATTCCATAGAGTGGAAAAGAGGGTGTTTAAAGAGGGCATTCTTTTCCTTACACTTTCCCTTTTGCAATGAAAAAATAAATTATCCATTTTGTGATACTTTACTACTCTACAGTGTAAAGGCAACAGGTTGCACTCAGGATTTTAGCTGCTGCTGGGGACAGTGTAAGCAAGGCTGCCACCTCTAACACAAGCACATCATCACCAGTGGCATCTTCAGTATCTTTGAAGTGGAGGACAAGACTAGGAAGAAACCTTGGACTGTTGTCTTTCCTGGTTGGAAACAGTAAGGAAGCCTTCATCTGGTGACAAGAAGCTGCTTCAGCTCTGTGCATCAGGGGCATAGTAGTGGAGGGCATCAGCACAGGAATGATAGTTTATGGCTAATGGATACTGAGGTATTGAACACTGAATAACAAGGAAGGTGATGAAGAAGCACCAAAACCCATCCTCACTGAAGAACCCCAAGAAATACAAAAAGCAACATGGTTCATCCAAAATTAATTAAGACTGGAGTTTACAGCAAGAGGTAAA